CAGCTTTGGCATGGAGCTATTATGTGCCCACTCCCCTAGCCTGCCATCCCAAGGTAAAACATAGCAAGCCAGGGCAGGAAGGGGAAACCTTGATCCTTTGACTTGCTGTAGGCAAGAGTCCTTCCCTGGTGCCACCTCCCAGGACTAGAGGTCTTTCCTCTTCCTATTCAATGTAATCTTTGCAGTCCTTAAGGAGCCGACCACTTCAGAATGAGCTCTTGTCCTAAGAATTAACCAGTGAAAGCTTTTGAAAGAGGTAAGTCTTAAAGGGAAGAACTCTGTTATACCAAGGCTCAAATCTCTCTGACTGTAAAGCTACGTCTACACTACAGGGTTTTTGCACAATTTTGCGCAAAAACCCACAGAGTGTCCACACCTCAAGCGCGTTTTTGTGCAAGAAAATTTACAGTAGAATGGCAGAACAGAGGGCTTTCTGCAGTATAGGTATACCTCTTTCTACGAGGAATAACTCCTTTTTGTGCAAGAGTTCTTGTGCAAAAACGCAGGCTCTTTTTGCGCAAGAAAGCCCTATCTGAAAAAGCACATGTGCTCTGATGGCCATTCTGTGAATCAGAGCTTTCTTGTGCAAGAGCATCCATGCAGCGTGGATGCTCTTGTGCAAAAGCACATCACTTTTGCAATGCGCTTTTGAGGTATGGACATACTTTTGCGCAAGAAGTTTTTCTAGAAGCTCTCTTCTGCAAAAAACTTCTTGCGCAAAAAGCCTGCAGTGTAGACTTAGCCTAAGAATCCAGGAGAATTTTGCATACAAAATGGACCTGGCAGGTAGGTGCTTCAGGTATAGTGGATGCTCTTGTGCAAAAGCACATCACTTTTGCAATGCGCTTTTGAGGTATGGACATACTTTTGCGCAAGAAGTTTTTCTAGAAGCTCTCTTCTGCAAAAAACTTCTTGCGCAAAAAGCCTGCAGTGTAGACTTAGCCTAAGAATCCAGGAGAATTTTGCATACAAAATGGACCTGGCAGGTAGGTGCTTCAGGTATAAGTACCAACTTCCTCTCTAGCTGGGGGGGTGCGGGAGGTGCTCAACACCCCCCTACCCCAGGCCCTGCCTCCATTCCATCCTTCCCCCCAAGCCCTGCACCTGCCCCACCCCTGCCCCTTCCTGCCAGAGCCCGCCCCTGCCCTGCCTCTTCCCCACCTCCTCCCCCAAGTGCACCCCATCCCTGCTTCACCCACTCCATCCTGGAGCTTCCTGAATGCCACAAATCAGCTGTTTGTGGTGCCCTGGAAGCTCTACCCCAGGCCCTGCCTCCATTCCATCCTTCCCCCCAAGCCCTGCACCTGCCCCACCCCTGCCCCTTCCTGCCAGAGCCCGCCCCTGCCCTGCCTCTTCCCCACCTCCTCCCCCAAGTGCACCCCATCCCTGCTTCACCCACTCCATCCTGGAGCTTCCTGAATGCCACAAATCAGCTGTTTGTGGTGCCCTGGAAGCTCTGGAGGGCAGGGAAGGAGTTGGTCTGCAGGACCACCAGCAAGCAATATGTGCAGGAGAATGTGGCCTTCCAGTGCATGCTCGGTACCCAGTAACTTTTCCTTGTGGCTGCTCCAGAGCTGGAACACCCACAGAGTTTGTGCCTCTGGCTTCGGGGGTGTTTCCTGCTTATATGTGCATGCCTTTCTGAAATAGAAGCCATGTCAAATGACTGCTTGGATTTAGGGCTGCCTTTGTCTGATAGGTTTTGTCAAAATGCAGGTTTTAGTGAGCTTGTTCAGCCAGTTGCAAGTTGTAGGAGTGTCAGCATCTGTTGCTTGCTACCTGCTCCTCCTGTGGTTTTTGTTTCATGGTTCTGCTACATCCCTGGGGTCCATCATGCTTGGCAAATACAGGTTGAACCTCCCTAGTCTGGCACCCTCGGGATTGGAGTAGTCCCAAACAAGGGAATTTGCCAGACCAGGGGAGGTCAGGAGTCAAGGCTCTCCTGGGGCTCCCCACCTGGCTGCTGCCCCGGGAGAACCTGGAGGCCTGACCTCCTCTGGCTCCCTTACCTGGCTGTGCTCCTGAGGTTCCCTGGTCCTGACCCCGCACACGGCAGCAGCTGCTCCTGGGGTTCCCTGTCCCTGCACATGGTGGCAACTACTCCCACGAAAGAACTAGAGGTGTGCCAGTGTATAATGTGTTGCTGGGCAAGGTTTTGAGTCCATGAGTAACTATCAAGCTAGGCTAGGGTTTTATGTCCTCTTGGGAAAGCTTTGTAGTTTGCAATTTTTTTTTCTTTTGCTGTGAAATTTATGAAATAGAATCATAGAATACTAGAACTGGATGTCAAGAATCAGAGGGGTAGCCGTGTTAGTCTGAATCTGCAAAAGCGGCGAGGAGTCCTGTGGCACCTTATAGACTAACTGAAGTGTTGGAGCATAAGCTTTCATGGGCAAAGACCCATTTCGTCAGATGCAAGTAGTGGAAATTTCCAGAGGCAGGTATAAATATGCAGGCCAGAATAGGCTGGAGATGACGAGGTGGATCCAATCAGGGAGGATGAGGCCCACTTTGGCCCAACCCCCTAACCCAGTGGTTCTCAAACTTTTTGGCCTGTGGCCCACCTGGCTCATTGCAAACCTTTCTGTGGACTACCAGTTGCTAATGGAAACGCACCATTAATTATATAATTACACCCAAGCCATTTTGCTAGTGCTGCAGCTAGGGAGAACAGTTTAATTTAACCAGCAAGGGTATGTCTACACTACCCCGCTAGTTCGAACTAGCGGGGGTAATGTAGTCATCCGCAGTTGCAAATGAAGCCCGAGATTTGAATTTCCCGGGCTTCATTTGCATGATGCCGGCCGGCGCCATTTTTAAATGCCAGCTGGTTCGAACCCCGTGCCACGC